AATGACGACGTCGACTCCAACGAAAGGAAGCTGTACGTCAGCGACGTACCCCAAGTTTGAATCGAATCAGGTCATTTTTTTGAAACCTGAAAGCCGTAGCATCAGTGCCTCGGGCAGTTTGCGAGAATGTCATAACTATTTTGACTCGATTCCTCTATTTTCGTAAATCTAGGCAAAATCTATCTAGATTTTCAGATCACCGAGTATGCAAGTGCGTACTACCGTGGTGGTCAGCAGAAGATGATATCAATTCGTTGTTGTCTATATGTAACTGCAGAGTTGCTGTCCTTCTGAGGAAACTGCTCAAGTTAAAGTACCGAAGTTCCAACAGCCAAAAGTCTACATCGAAATCTGCTTGCATCACTTCTCAACAATGTCAGACACAATCAGCTCAGCTCGACCTTAAACAAATACTTGTCGAGCTTGATGTCTCAGTCAATGCTGATCCTAACTCTAAGTACAAAGAAGCATCACAAAGTCTTAAAGTATAGACTATAAGCAGGAAGAAAGTAATTAACGAGCAGCATGATGATGATCACTGCATGATTAATACGCAGTTTACGAAAGATTTTACTGCAGTGTTAAAGATGCATAGATTAAAAAAATGCATCATATTTTGCAATGTAGATTTATCAAAAGCTATATCGACAACGACTGTTGACCCAATGGCATAGAACAAGAGGAAATGGTAAAGTCGAAGGAGCATCGACTGCAGTCACAATATACCGGTAAACGCCATACCTCAGTCAAAACCAAATTTCACGAACTTCACGAGCTATTGGACCAATGTGCATTTTTGTCAGTTCATCAGCTAAGCAGATAGATAATATAAGAACCTCAACGTCAAAACGCATGACTTTTCAAAGCCCAGGTTCATGACCTACTGCATCTTCCCCTTGCACTTTTATGACAACCATTCAGTAGGCCATGAGTCCATGGTACTGGAGCAGTTCCCACGTTCATTAGGAACGATGCTTTACGGGCTTTTAGTAGGCCGGAGCAGGTTAAATAATGCATGTCTCATCCAAGATCAATCTCACCATTATAACTTCATTTCAGCGTGCTGGTCCCGGAGAGCGAGCAAAGTCTAATGATCGACGCACGGGATCGAACGTGTGAGGAAGATTTATGGTGTAGCGTCATTTCTGTTTCTGGAACCCTCGCCGTGATCATTAAGACCTGTAATGAACCGTACGCGGTGAAGCGATGAGGCTGGTAATCAGATTTTAAAAACCTCGTTAAGTCTTAAATGCAAATCTGCTGACAGCACGTTCTAGCAACAACTCCGGACCGAAAAACGTGCTCCACACCCATCCATAATACCGAAAACAAGTGAAATATATTTTTTACATAAAAATAAAACC